TTTACTAGCCAATATGAAATGATAATAATCACCCCTTCTTAGTAATGGCCTAGCATAAAGCAGTATGATCATCATCCATGGTATTTATAATCCATCCATCCATTATCTTTTACCTGCTTCTTCCATGGGTGGCTCCGATGCCCATGTCCAGCAATCACTGTGTAAGGGGTGGGGTACACCCTGGACAGGTAGCAAGTCCATCACAGGGCCACATAGAGACCAATGGACAAATAACCATTCACCCTCTCACTCTCACCTAGGGACAATTTAGAGTTACCAATCAGTCTAACATGCATGTTTTTGGTCTGTGGGAGAAAACCGGAGTACCCGGAGAAAACCCATGCATGCACGGAGAGAACCTGCAAACTCCACCCAGAAAGGCCCCTGGACCGGGATTTGAACCAGGGACCTGCTCACTAAGAGGCAGCAGCTCTACCAGTTGCGCCACCGTGCTGCCTGGTATTTAGTAGTAGCTTAAAATACCTCATAAAACTCCAGTAGGTCTACTGTAACCAGAGCTTGATTTGTAAATCTATCGATGCCAGAACTCAAATAGCAGGTGGGCTGGGTGCGATGGGGAGGGGTCCCTCCCCCAGAAAATTTTGAATAAAGTAGATGTTATTTTCTGCATTTTGGTGTATTTTAATGGGTTGTTAAACATCTGCGTATACCTACATTTGTAAACACTCACACCCTCCTCCTTACTGGACAATTCCGAGCCGATTCTTCTTCGCTGAATTCACTGTCCGACTCCGCATGTGAAACCTCCAGGCACTCACCCCCACCACTCTTGTAAGGGCAGAGATTTTTTTAAAGGGTAAATGCAGAAATGTTTCACTTGATGATCGTATGTGATATTAAGAAGTCGTGTTATGTCGTCTGTTGTGTTTAAAGTTAGTGTTTATGTAATTATTTTCCGTTTACATATCCAGTATAAGTTTTATTTATTCAAGGCAGTAAAATTTGTTCATAACTTTATTATTAATAAGCCTGAGAGCTGCCAAATCCAAGCACACAGTTACAGGAATGCACCCTGTCGAAATAAGAGAGTTCTCTGATCCTGTCCCGTCAGGATCCAGCTCAAATTAAACACTGACTGAAACATGTAGCATTAACACAGTATGAACAACATTCAGAAACTGTTTCTATAAGAACATTATCAAATATTTTACGTGAACGGCAAGATTGCTCCTCCCATGAGCAAATGTAACCCAGGGTGAGCTAACCTCAGACAAACTAACAAACAACATAATTGTAATGATGGAGTGAAGGTCAAAGTGTTACCTGACACATTTAGAGGCATTTCTGTCTTATCAGCCAACATTTAGGTAAAGAAGACAGGAAAAAATAATAATTCTAAGCTACTAATAACTTAAAATTGTTACTGCAGTGGATGTTTTCATGCTGCAGAGCGACACAGGGCAAGAAATCACAGTGAAATTCAATATGTAAGAGAATAATTTTTACATTACATAACCTAATAAACACTTTTTACAAAATAATCTTAGTTTTAACAAAGACTAAACTTATGCAACCAGAAGTTACAACATATATCTACATATAAAACACACAAAGCAAATCACAACTAGCTTTAAACATTTATAATTAATTCAACAATTAACCTCAGACAAACAGCAGACTGGCCCACTTTAGATCACGACCTATTATTATTAAAATAGATTTTGACAGAAAATGGAGGATGTACCTGCAGTTACATTTGTACAGATGAACATGTGGTAGCTACTTCTTGTTTATAACTGTTGTAATTAGCTGCTTATGGGTCGGCCGCCAGCTTTTTACACTTTTCCAAACTTTGTTTAGTTTTTGAAATGGAATAAACTGTATTCCACCCTCTAACCGCCCAGAGTAACACGTGTTTGTATTACATTTTGCCCACTGACAACGTTTAAACATTTTTTTCTGATGATTTTTCACAAAATCCCTCTGACCATGGGCTGCATATCTGCAAGTAAAGAGCATTTACCTTCAGGACAAACGGAGGTCAGTTGCTGACACGCCTACTGGATTAATTGACAGGTGGGGTTGAGAATCCGACTCGTGCAAAAAAAAGAAAAGAAAAAAAAAAACGAGAGCTGCCGCCGGCCCTGGGTGGGGGCAGGATGGCCCTGGTGTTTATATGTTCATAAAAAAAGTTAAAAAACAAACAAACAAACAAAAAAGAAACAGGTAGTGCTGAACCTGCGGCCCACGCATCAGACCAGCCACCGAGAAATGCCCCGGTCCCCCCGATTAGCCACTCTGGGCTGGGTATTCATACATAATTGGGGTATTATCTTAAGGATTCATAATTTATCAACAACCAAATTTCATTTAGTCTGCATTGTATAAAATGGTCTCATTTACATGTTTGACCACCTGCATCATGAAGGACCCCACTCACCCAGCACATATACTTTTTCCCCTTCTCCCCTCAGGAAGGAGGTTAAGGAGCATTTAGAACCATTAGACTGAGGAACAGCTTCTACCCTGAGGCTGTTAGACTCATGAATCTCTAACCAGAATCATCACTGTGAAAAATCACATCATGTTGCTGTTGATCTGTTTCATGTTGCTGCTGATCTGTTTCATGTTGCTGCTGATCTGTTTCATGTCACTGCTAATCTGTTTCATGTTGCTGCTGATCTGTTTCATGTTGCTGTGTTCATGCGTGCTCATCTGCTCACACAGACTCATGTTCGTGCTGCTGTTCAGCGTATTGTTGTTATGCTATTAGTGCTTATTTTTGTTGATGTTTTTCTTAGTTCATATCTTAGATCTTATTACGGTTTTTCTTTTACATTTTATTGTGGGATGTAACTGGGACCCTGTGTACATAATTTTGTTCCACCACTTTTACCACATGTGGTGTGTATGACAAATAAATCTCTGACTCTAATTTATATACACATTTATTTTCTCTATTTAATTTATTTTTGCTTTGAGCAGTGGATAAAAGTGTACAAAATATAGACTACTGTAATTCTTAAGAAAGCATAAAAAGAAAACATTTGTTAAAGTCATTTAAAGTGTTTTTAGGAAGTACTTATCCATATAAGATATTTAATCTAAAGCCATGCTGAGAATCTATACTGTTGTTGAGTTGTACTGGACTGTGTGGTCAGTGGGGGACAGTGCGCCTGAGAGTCTGGGACCCAACATATTTATCGTGGTGGCCAATACCTCTCCTGAACCCCACTTGGTGGTATCCAGGTGAAGCTTCCAAGAGCTGTAAAAAGCAGTGAGATGTAATATTAATGCATGTAATCGTTAAAAAGAAATCTGGAAATAAATTTGCCATAATAGAAAAGCTGAGTAGCAAAAATATAAAAACACAAGAGGGGAAAGAAAAAATATGTCATCAAGCAAGGAGTGTATATAGGAGCAGGATCTGAAAAATGAAATACCATCCATCCATTATCTTTACCCACTTCTTCCTTTTCGGGTCGCGGGGGTCACTGGTGTCCATATCCAGCAGTCACTGTGTGAGAGGAAGGGGACACCCTGGACAGGTCTCCAGTCCATCACAGGGACACATAGAGACAAACGAGACACAACCATTCACTCTCTCACTCACACCAAGGAACAATTTACCAATCAGTCTAACATGCATGTTTTTGGTCTGTGGGAGGAAACCGGAGTACCCGGAGAAAACCCATACATGCACGGAGAGAACATGCAAACTTCCACCCAGAAAGGCCTCTGGCTGGGATTCAATCCGGTGACCTTCTCGCTGAGAGGCAGCAGCTCTACCAACTGCGGCACCGTGCTGCTAAGAATGAAATAAAAAAAAAATCTTATGATCAAATTAAGAATCCATTTAAACAAATTTACTTCTAAAATAAAATAAAAAAACAACAACCGAGTTTCAACGTCATGGTAAAAACAGCAACAACAACAATGCAGCATGTGGAAATGCATTTCTTTTGGCACTTCATAAATGTACAGTTAGTGTTTACCCTGTATGGCCGCAGCTGTGGTTAGCACTGATGTCTCACAGCAAGAAGGATATTGGGTATTTCTGTGTGGAGTTTGCATGTTCTCCTCATGTTTGTGTGGGTTTTCTACAGGTACACAAGTTTTCTCCTACAGCCTAAAAACATGCACATTAAGGCTGTCTTCAGGCCCAGGCCTCCCTTAGATTTGAATGGTTAAATAAATTAAAATTTAATTTAATTAAAACATAAAGATACATGCACATGGCGACTTCAACATGTCATAATAAAATCACAAAAATATGCTTGTTTTACACCGTCAATGACTTTTGGACACTTTTCCATTGAATCCTGCTTGGACTTACAGCTTTTGTGCCCAACTAACACAAGTGAGCTCAATCAGTGATGCAGTTTGTACTTCACAGTCTGAAAATGTGCATTAAATCACACCTCTGTGCTGAAGATCTGTGTGGAAGTCCATAATGTCAGGGAATTCACAAAGTCTTGCTTTCAATGTGTCATTAATGTCAACCTGCACATGGAAAGTGTGATCACAAAGGTAAAAGCCAAATGATGCATGCTCAATAATCCAGGTAGATAAATCCAACAAGGTCCTCTGACGGGTTCTTCTTTGTTTTATCTTAATCCCAAATACTTCTTCTGGATAAAACACGAAACATTTCAACAAAGAAGAATCTGTCCAGATTTGACCTGATTTAATATTGTTGGATAAAAGCTAAACATTACTCCAAATCCATCCATCCATTATCTTTACCGCTTCTTCCTTTTCGGATCATGGGGGGTCACTGGTGCCCATATCCAGCAGTCGCTGTATGAAAGGTGAGTGACACCCTGGACAGGTCTCCAGTCCATCCCAGGGACACATCGAGGCAAACAACCATTCACTCTATCACTCACACTTGTAGAGTTACCAATCAGCCTAACATGCATGTTTTTGGTCTGTGGGAGGAAACCGGAGTACCCGAAGAAAACCCACGCATGCACGGAGAGAACATGCAAACTCCACCCAGAAAGGCCCCCTGGCCAGGATTCGATCCCGCGACCTTCTCGCTGAGAGACAACCGTTCTACCAACTGATCCACTGTGTCACCCTGCCATTACTCCAAATGTATTAGTTAATAAAACTTTAAGATGCTCATTGCAAACTATGACATGAAGTAGATAAACTAGATTATCTTGAATTGTATAAAAGGATGCAATTTGGAAGAATTTGTTCCAGTAGTTTTCCAGATGTATTGATAATATGCAACTCCTAATCTATTTTCAGTCACTTCACATATTTCTGTGGGTAAACATTTACATGTGGTAGTTTGCAGAACACACAAACTTTGATTATACAGTATGTATTTGTATTTATTTTAGGACACATTGGCCAACTATAGAAAATAAGTGTGTTTTTGTTACTACTGGTCTTCATGACGTTGCAATACCTCTAAGGACCAAAAATAAATAAAAGATGTGCACACAACTTCTCCATGCTCATCTGCTCATTACATTTTAGTTTTATTACCATGAACAAGCACCGAGTGCACGACTACTTTCCAAGCTGCAGCAAAGAGATTTTGTCACCGACCCTTGTTTTTATTTTTGATGAATAAAAAACCACAGCTAAACACAAAGAGGCCCATCTGGATACTTTTTTCTGCCCCGAATTCAAGAACTGAGGTAATTTGTTTAAACATATATGTACAGTAAATAAAAATATGCATTCCAAAGCTGAGTGGCATTCCCCTTTAATTCTACAGCTTATGTAATACAGAAAATATGCCACAGAAATCATTGCAATTACAAGTCTTTTTGTTTTTAAAGAAACTAGGCTCACAGTGTCTAACTAATACATTGTAACATTAAACAAACCCTTTGTGTGTACGATATGTGCTTCTTCTGTAAAAGATCTCAGTACAACATATTCTGAAATGACAGTTTTTGCTTATTTTATGAGCTGGATTTCTGAGGGGACAGATATGTGGACCCATGGTGATTTATGCTCCATTGCATTTCTGTCCATTAAGCATCCACAATAAATAAAGCTAAACTTAAAACTTTTTTTTTAATGAGTACAGCTGTGTCCCATTTAGCTGGAAAGTATTGCCTCGTCCACATGGTGGCTGAAAAGCACATCAACATATTGCACCTCCAGTCGTACCTTCTGGTCAACGTTTGTCCGTTTTGTAGCCCTTTTCAACTCAGAAAGTACGGGTAAACTGTCTAAAGATCCCTGATCAGGTCTTTCTGTTCACAGGCAGATAAAGGGATCCAGCTTTGATATGATTAAAAAAAAAGGTAAAGACTTTCCACCATGTCACAGTTAAGAATGCCACACAGGTTTCAGATCATTTACAAAGCCCGTTTAAAGGAAAGATTAATAAAAATCTTTGCATTTATATCAAATAATCCTGTTTTTTTTATATAACAATGCTCTTATAATTCAGTGAAGTGTAATATTAACTTCACAGCTAATATTACAGTTTATCATGAATGAGTGCGATAAAGAAAGACAGCAGGAATGATGACCAGGACATGTAGCAAAGGATGTTTAATGGTTTCTTTGGACAATGAGGTGCACGTGTCCAGTTTGAATGTCATACAAAGAAGAGAAGTAACAATGCAGTGTTGTGTCAGCATTCCCACTTCAACATTTCTCCTTCAATAAGCTGATTGAAATGGAGCAGGGCATGTTGGAGTGCTGCACATGGACTGACCACTAGGGGGAGAACCAGCTCTTAAAAAAAAAAAAAAAAAAACAATTATGTGCATGATTGTTTATGTCCTGCTCTATTCATGGTCTGCAAACTTTCAGAAAACTGAACAAGAAATCCAATTAAACCCATGAAGAGTTGAGTTTCAAACTCAAACCAGGTGTAAAAATATGAGAAGTGGCCTGATGCAGGTAATATTGGAAAATGAAAAGCATGAGTGGTTGAATTGAAAAGATTTAATAAAACATTTTAAATTAAAATCTCAAATAAAATCAAAATAGTGATTGTGCCACCTTTGGACGAAACAAAATAACACATTAAGCACAATTATTGCCTGCCGCCAAAGGAGATTATGTTCACGTTGTCTGCTAGCAAAATATCTCATGAACCACTGGAGGGATTATTATTGAGCTCGCAGAACATATTCAATAAGTGTACTTCTATAACTGATTAACTTTAGGAGTCAACCAAATTTGAGATGGCTAACCCAAGTGACATTAGAAATCAAAAATGGCTACAATTCAGTCAATTTTACAGATATTTGATATGGTAGTAGCTGGGAGTAATTTGCAACACACTCTAGTGTGACATTGCAATATTGCATGATATTGCACATTATAATTTTAAGGTCTAAACAAAACTGCTAACACCCTTTCATTCCTCAATATTTGATATTACGTTAAAGCTTAAAAAAAGCTTACGGCCAATAAGGAATGCTTTGCCTTTAAGGCTCGTTTCTGCCGTCCTCCATAAAATATAGTCACAAAGTGTGTAAAAAATATAATTTAAAAATGCCAGTTTTTGATGAAAAAGGAAAATGGGTGGGGAATTTACGCTGCAGGCAAAAACAGCCAAAATGACAGACGACTTCAGCTGTCAGGTGAAAAATGTACATTACTGCACATTTTATATTAAACTTATTCTAAAGGTGCACTGAGCTGACCTGGAGGAGCATGGAGCACGATGCAGAGGTTCAGAGCATTTGGCCTGTTCGAGCCTACACAAATATTCAATCTATAGTGGTTTTTACTACGGAGTGATCAACCTGAGATTTTTATTTTCAGTTCAATCATGATGTTCACAGCAAAAATAAACATTCATCCTTCATGTCGGGAAAATCCTACTGCAGATATTGATTAAATAATTGAAACTTTGCATGTTATAATCAAATTATTGCTTTGCTATTTCAGTTCTTTTCCCGACGCAAATAAACTCCTACACAAATTGGTTGAATGGGAATGCCTTATTAAGTGAATGTCTTGGTCCTCTGCATCACGAGGATGCAGTGAAAATCTGAATGATTAAGAACAAAAATTAAAAATGGTGGGCAAACGTGATCCGATATGAACTGAAAGAGCAGCGATCAAGCCAACATGAGCTGTAAATGCAGACGCCTCGTACATTCCACTGTAGCTCACTCGCTAGGAAGTCATTGCTTTTAATTCTTCACTTCTCAAAAATACATAAATAAAAAAAAATCTACTTAAGACTTTAACAGTGGGGATCCACAGAGTCTGTGAGGCGAATGTTTGTGATGTAGCGAGAGAGAAAAATAGATGGAGTGAATATTTGCATCAAGTGCTAATAAATGACTAAATATGTTCGATTTATAAAAAACTACCTTGGTGCTGAACACTGACCTCTTTCTAACAATAAATCTGGTATACAACATTTACAAAATTAACATCATAATAGTGTGATATTCTTAATATATGCTACTGCCTTCCTCTGGTTCTCTTCATTTCAATAGTACCTTAACTCCATCTTACAGTTTACACAGTAAAGCGCTTGCGCCACACGAGCGGCAGCCGAATGCCAAGAGAGAACAGGAAGACTCTGGACAGTGAGTACACCTGTGTGTGTGTCCTGAGTGTGTGAGGATGGTAGCTCCGCTCAAACTGCACAGCCACAATTTGCCGGTAGGCTCCGCAGTGAAAGGATTCAAAGAGAGTAAACTTCTGGGATACCTAAATTCTTCAGCTCACAAGGTACATTATTTCCTAATCCAAGATACTTGCACAAGTAAAGACAGTCTTGAAATACTTTAGGAGATAATAATTATAATAATATCAACAATAACAACAATAGTATTAAACATCTGTAAAGATTTATCTGTCCCATGTCAGCTGACAAACTGGATTGTTACGGTGCTCTGTGATCTTTACGTCTCTGCTGTCAGCTGGGCTGCTAACAGATCGACCTCTGTGCATCCATCGTACATTTAATGTGTTCATCTCAGAACTGTGTTTTGTCAACAAAATATCTGGAGTGAGTCATGATTTTGCTCGACAACTGCTGCTGACTCAGTCTCAGAGGCGGGTCTGGGCTTCAGGGACATAGATTTCGATACTGTCAGCACTTTCCGTGGCGGAGTTCTGTCGTACTGACGCTGCCTTCTTTGCTGCCATCAACCGTTTTCTGGCCTCTTGTCGCTGCTTGTCCACGGCCGAGTCCACGCTCCTGTCCTTCCCCGTTGACAGCCGGGGCTTCGACTGTTTCTTTGGCACCGATGATGGAAGCTGCTTGTTTTCATCCTGAGGAAATTATGTCAAGAGGAGGAGTAAGAAACGTGAGCTTGGTGAGAAATGAAAACATGTCAGCTGGTGCTGATAGTAGCTTAAGAGCTTGTAATCGACTCTCACACTTAGGTCTCAAGTGGCAAAAATAAACAAAAAACTATTTCTAAACATAAAAATACCAGAAAATTACCAATTTTTATTAATTCAATGAACATAAAGATAGGGCGTTTCCAGCGTCACCTTCTTGTCAGTCTTCTCAGGAAGCTGCCAGTTGTTGGCTTTCAGTTGGTAGAGCTCATCAAACTTCATGCTTATGTCTTCTATTGAAAGCTGGAGAAGATCCCAGAACCCTGCAAGGTCCTGTGCTGTTGGTCTTGGGTTGGCATTCACATTCTAATCAAAGAAAAAACAAAAAACACCAAAATAATTTAGAATTTAAAAACAATTCAGTATGCTTTCAAAATAAATTAGAATGCATGGCAATCTTTTATTGAAAGTTTGACTTCAGAGATAATAATCCTGTAAACCGCAAACATCTGGGATCAGTTCACAACAAAGAAAAGATTTGTTCCAGAACCGAACCAATAAAATCCAATCTGCTTTTTGTTGGACCAAATATAATGAAGCTACTCACCAGATTCTCATTGCAGAGCCCTCTGAACTGCTCAAACTTCTGTGAGATGAGGAGCTGAGCACTGCCTACTGCACTGCGAATTGTCCCCAACACTGCAAAACATTTTAAAAAAGAAACTCATGAATGATATACTTGCTATAATCTACATCAGGACATACGCGAGGGATGCATCTGTAGCCCTTTGATGAGGATTTATTTCAAAATGTACAATTAATCATTCCCCGACAGTGAATAATTTCTCTATGCGTTCTTCCTTAACTCAATTGTGACTTTTCAGTTCAGCTATTTTATACTCAATATTTGCATGTCAATATAAATATATTATTAAAGCCTTTAAAAGCAGGAGCATTCTCTAAAAGCCTTTACTGCAAGTCATATTCTCTCTCATTTATATTTTAGACACAGTAGACAATGATCTGTCTAAAGAGCCTGAGTGGGGTTCTGGGGGATGAAAACAAAATGGATTCCACTGTGGCTCTATTACCACTAAAACAAAGCTTACTCCCAGTTTAATGCTCTGCGGTACAAGAGTCAATTGCAGTGATGGGTGTGTCAAGCTTTGTCTCATCATCCAAACCAAACAGGGATGAGACATTACTAAGTCCCCTGTCTGTAAACTTCAATTACAGGCACATCCATTCTTCCTGGCGCAGTCCTAATAAGTCATGTACCAAACTGTATTTGCCATCTCTCCCCATATTAGTTTATGTTACATCATTTTTTGGCCTTAAATAACTGAAGTGGGTCTCCATGTCACTGAGGAACAAAAATGTAGCTGCTGCAAAAGTTTATAAACAAGTACTGCAGCACACAGAGCTGCTCTGTCAGTCTGATCCCTAAACTGTTTACTACTTAAATATTTTCCCAATTAGAAGTTTGGTAAACGCCGATAACACTAATATGCATGTGTGAATGCTTACCCTCCTCTGAGAGCTTATAGTCTTTGGTTTCCTGCTCCATCTGCTGACACCAGCCCTCCATGCGGCCCGTTTCAGCTTGCAGTAGCTTCAGAAACCAGTTGCCATCTCGGAGACATGCTGGCGTGCTGGCGTGAACAGCATCACCCTGCGAGCTGCCATTTCCAGACTCTAAGCTGGGATCTGGTGGTGGTAGAGATGAGGGGTCTAAAGCTGGATCCAGTGTCTCAGCAGGCGAGTTAGATATCCTCGACGGGGCTAATGTGTGTTTAAGGAGTTGCTGTTCCATGGCTTTGTCCTGTCCGTTGGTTGCGGTGGTATTCACAGTCTGACTGTTGGTGCAGTTGGTTGTGTTTTCTGTGGGTGCGGCATCCTGCAGCTGAGGCTCAGTTTCTGTATTTTGTCTGGAGGCCATGCTGCTGTCCCGGCTGAGACTGCAGAGACATGAATAAATATCAGCCTCTGAACAGCTTAAAGTAACAATTTGAGGTCGGCAAGTTTACTTGAAAGACAGTAAAAATGGATAATTATTCATTGCAGCAATGCACTGAAAAGGTAACGCACAGAAGAGGAGACAGTGAAAATAAGCAACAAAAACAGTTAAACTGCTGGCTTCTAAGAAGAGGACCATAAAAAGAAGCACACAGTCAAAATGTGATTAAAATGAAAATTATAGAGCACTGTACTCATTTAAATTAACAGCTTCTCACTAGTTTCAAGTAACTAATGTCTAAATAACATAATATCAATCAAAACACTGTTTTGCTGCTAGGCTTACTGGTAAATGACACAATACGATCACCGTTACAAAATCAACAAACGAGAGTATATAGTTACAGAGGGAGAGGCATAAGAGGAGCTAAAGTGTTTGGATGAAAAAACACAAAAAAAATCATTGCAAATCACATTCACACACAAATCACATATTCACACACCTGGACGCTTCCCAACATAAATACATTCCTAAATATCAAATAATAAACTGTTAAAAATGAAGCAGTTGGGGTCAGAGACCTTTCACTGGAGACTTTTGAAAATATATCTTGCTTGTGTTGTGCTTTCTACTTTAATTCAAGTTCAAGTCAAGTTTATTGTCCTTCACATCACATGTGGTACATGAGGTGGAACAAAATTATGTACTCAGGATCCCAGTTACACCCAACAATAGCAAAAATATGAAGTGCAAAAAAACAGTCTATAAGGATCTAACGTATATACTTATATATGCTAAAAGATCTAAAATATACGCTAAACACTAAAACAAACCTGCTTAAAGCAACATGCCTGTCTCTGAAACAGATTTTGTTTATCCAGACAGCTGTACTTACGGCCTGCCGTTCTCAACTTGAACTCCAATTGATTGAAACTTTAGAGGTGTAGACAGGAGTAATGGCTCTTCTCTTGGAACTGGAAGAATACAATCCACCTAAAATGTTACAAACACAGCAAGGTTATTCAGCAGTTCACCCTAGAAGGTCAGATGCCAACGTAAATAAATACTGGACTGAGTGTACCTGGACTCCAATAGAAGACAACTTCCTCTTGGGTGCAGTTGGAGGCGGTTCTAGGGTGATGCTAATATTCACAATGTCATTTTGGGACTGGGTAGATGTGGAAGTGGTGGTGGTGGCAGCAGCAACAGTGGTGGTAGAAGGGAGATCACGGGGAGCTGGAATAGGGGGCCCAGAGCTTGCAGCAGGTGCAGTTGTTGCAGCAGGGGCTGTTAGTGACTGGGTCACCTTGGCCAGGCTGCTCATGCGTATGCTACAGAGACTGTCAGACGAGTTGCTGCGTCCTGACTGGCTGTTCGCCTCACTGCCTTGGTCCTGCTGGTCAAGGTAAGTGTCTTGAGCAGATTCTGTGCTGCTCTGCAACGTCACCGAGATGAGAGGCTTAGAGGTGATGCGAGGTGGGACTGGAGGAGCCTTTCTATTGCCAACTGCTTACGAGACAAAAAAATAAATAAAATAAATAAATTAGATTGAGACACAAGCTATTTGTCACTGGGGTGGAGACTTTAGAAACAAGAATAAAAAAAGGCCTACGCAAACTTAAGCCAGACAGTGCACACGGGATGCCAAACCATAAAACCATTAACAAGTTTATCTACTTAAAAACAAACATGTACTTTGGCCCTTATTGCTGCATGTATCAAGTTTTACTGACAGCTACCTCTGTGCTTCCCTGAGGTAAGTTTCTGCTGGTTGCTGTGTTCCACTGACGTCTGTTTGTCTCTGGGGATCTTCTCTTACATGCCACACCTTTACAGGCCTTTTACTCTGGAGAGACTCTTCTGCCATCACTGCTAACAGTCCTCTTTCATGTGACCATAGAAGTGCAGTCATGCATGTTAAGACTCAAAATACTGTTCAACAGTTATCCTGTGATTTTGTTTTAATATGAACTGATGCATGAAATGTTTAATTATAATGTTATGGTATAAAATAAATAACAGAAAATAAGATTAAAACGTTGGCAACTAGTTTGTGTTATTTCTGTTACACAACATTAAACTAAATTAGCAAAGATTTTTTTTTTTTTTATCTTTCACTCGTGTTGCCACACGTTACTTTCTTATTTCACTTGTGTATGAAATGTACAGTACTCAGTTTTGTTTGACAAATTAGTAAAATTATACTAGTACAATCTTCTTGTGACAACAACTACACACCCAATACCATATTATTTATTTTTGTCATTCTCCACCCTAGGGATTTCTTTGCTCCTAGGTAAACTAAGTCTAATCAGACAGAATACGTTTACATGTACAGAGTATAAGTTATCAAATACCTCAATCTGAACAAAACATTCAGATAAAATGCATTTCCTAATGTCAGAATTTAAACAAAAGCCTGTTTGCAGTAAACAATAACTAATTAGGGAACATTTTGATCTTAGTTATATTACATGTAAACATTTATCTTTACCACACTATTATATCCTGCTAAAAGAATCAGGGCATCTTACAACAAAAGCTGATGTTTTACGGGTAATGTAGTAGGCTCCAGCATAATCCATGAAAAACAGGATGGACGAGAGGGAAACCAGAATAAAGTGCTGCGTTTTGACAGACATAAAATAAAAGCTCTGTGTGGGTGCAAACGTCACGGACGACGAGAGGACCAGGTTATAAAATGCTATCAAACTAACTATGCTCTGTCACATGTAAAAATAAATATTCCACAAGCAACTCCTTTCACAGAATAAATTCAGGATATTTTCTTGCAAGTAGGGGTTGAACGAGTATAATTTTTAAACTCGACATTAACATAATAAAACCCGATTAGAACTCGAGTATTTGATGACATCATAGATCTCAAGATACAAAAATAAATAAATAAATAAAACCGAAATAAAAGGTAATTATTTACAAAAAAAATGACCAACAAAACATTGGGAGCGTATATTCTGCTCCTACCATTTATCATACTGCAAATAAGTCACAGGAAAAAATAAACTATTAGTTATTATTATTAAACTGCAAACACATGCAGCACGTCAGAAACGAAACTTAAAACAGTGGATGGGCGGTGGATTGGACCCGGTGTTACACCATACTCTGTGACCTGCAACAGTGCAACACCGCCCCCTACGGTCATACAGTGGTCACATAATATGACGTCACTACGGATACTCGACGTTACATTTTTAACCTCGACAGATGCCCTAGCAATCGATGTGTAGATTACTCGAGTACTCTGTTAATGCCCTACTTGCAAGTACAAGGTCATCAGCTGCAACTGTAAACAAAACCATTGAAACAGTTGTTGGTGGAGTCCTTTTTGTCTGGTGGCTCAACCTTTGTAATTAATTCAACACATACTGAAATAATAAACCCCCATTAAACTGACCGACTCCTAGATTATTTGGTGACTTCAGCAGTTACAAGTATTTTTCCTATTTGGGGTGATGTTATCCAGTTATGTGTTTTGGAAAACAATCCTCTGCAGTCATAATTTTTGCCCATAACAAACAAAACAGAGCTAGACTAGCTAACTAAGTGAAATTATTTCCTGCACTAACCTGAGTTTACAGATGAAACAGCATCTACTGGTACAACAGCAAACAACTTGTCCTCATCTTAATCTACCCATACTTGGACTTTTTGCCTTTTAAGACAGTGGAAGGTGTTGCTTCCCATAACACATGTGACACCATCAAAATACTGCCGGCCCTCTTCAAAATGTTCAGCACAGATGTCTTAAACTGCTTGCTGATGAGCAACAGAAAGAGTTTCAAAAACAAACAGTAGCTGATTATACCAGTGTTAGACAACATATTTGTTTAAAAAATAGCTGACTAAGTATTTCCAAGCTTAGTACTTTAGCTCAATAATGAGCATTTTGTGTTTATTCTCTCTAGCAGTGGTTTCGATCTAGCAAAGTACACCAACACCCTGTAATTCTGAGGGCACCACACTTCCATCAGCCAGTGACGCAAAGAACCAGTAAAGCCCTCATTAAATCCCACCAACATATACAAACACGACTTTGGAATTCAGTCCATGAAACTCATATATCCTACAACCTACTCTAGTCTGCAGTGATAATCTGACCTCACAAAACATTGACTTCCCAAAGACAAAAGATAGCATTTATTCCAAATGAATGAAACACTTCCTGCAGTACTTATCACATAGATAATTTACATTGCCAAAGTGTGACCCTGTAAAAATCAATGCTTCTGTTGCATTCATTGTATACAAGATCCCACTGTGTCAGAGCTATAGTCAATAGTCAAATCAATGTCAAATGTCCTGCAAGTACTATGCTTATACTCAGATTCCACGAATATTTGGTGTCATTACGTTAATTTGATTTACAATTTAGTTTATTTTAGATTATTTAATTAGAGGACTGAGTTGTTTAGCTCTGACATAGGTAATCTATATCATATCAGCTCTGAATTTCTGATTTTAGGTTATTATTTTTTTGTTTCTTCCATAAATTCCCTTTTTAATTATTTAAAATCTAGTTTTTTATATGAACTCAATGAACTGGACTGAGCTCATCAGTGAACTGGATGTGGCCCTGGGTCATCAACTGAACAGTCCTGCACTACAATTATATTAGCATATTTAATACCTTTCTACATTGTAAATATATAGCAACATTTATCTACCGTTTTTTCTTTATACTTTTTTCTAAAGTTCAGTTACTGAGAATAAATGTCTACTAGTTTAACAGAATAGTATGACTAAGATCTTATTACAAAGCTCATACGATATATCATGTGTACCAGAGCTGTCAATTAATACTCATTTTGAGAAGTTAAAACGGTCTTCTCTTCCTTTGGCAACAATTAAGATCAATTCCATTATTAACACCGCTATTATCAAATCGCTAAACTGTGGAACATATGGACTCTATGCAGTCTGACCCTCAGCAGGTATAGCTGAGAGATATCAGATGACTACTAATGTATCCTCCACACCTCTAACATCTCAGAGCACATAATTTAAGTGCTATCAGTGAAATTGGTTCCATTTTTCCTTCCTTAGATTAAAAAATGTTACCAATTGAATTTTTGTGTATGTGAATGTATGTATTCAGTGCTCTCTGCCCTGAGATAACTTCTGTTGGAACTTGGTGCTAAATTTTTTTTTACTGAATTAGAAATTGAACTGAATTGTTACTGAAACCGTTTGTATTTGCTGAATTCCAGTACCTAATGTAACCCATTCTGATATTATGATTAGGGGTTTCAGTTTCTATGTCTTCTAAAGCTTCTGTAAAATCATTTTGAGCTATATTCCAGTGTGTTAATTACTGTTGGTGCCAAGTGTGGTTCTCCACTCAATCACTACAATAAACATACAATACCATAAAAACAAACCCCTCACTGGTTTTTATAAACACTGCAGATTGATGTTGAAGCCATTTTGTAAAATCTAGATAGCCTAGTATGATTTTTAAAAATACAAAGAGGTAGTGCACGTTTTTCATCTCCTGTGATTCTTTGTCTAACTTGATGACCGAGTCAGCATTGAAAGTTTAAAGACTAAGCAGCAAATGAGAAAATGTGACAAGTGTTTTCAGCATAAATATTGTACAATGGATTATTTTAAAAGTTTTTTTTGTTTTTTGTGCTATGAAATTGCCTTTTTTTAAATACTTGTAACATTTCTAAAAATGTCTGTTATTACACAAGTACACAATCAAGTCAATCAAGTAATTTGTAAATGACAAATTAGTTTACTTGGTCACCATCCATCCATTATCTTTAACCGCTTCTTCCTTTTCAGGATGTGGGGATTACTGTAGGTAGAGCTGTTGCCTCTCAGCAAGAAGGTCGCAGGATAAAATCCCAGCCGGGGGGTCTTTCTGGGTGGAGTTTGCACGTTCTCTCCGTGCATGTGTGGGTTTTCTCCAGGTACTGCGGTTTCCTCCCACAGACCAAAAACATACGTGTTAGGCTGATTGATAACTGAATTGTCCCTTGGTGTGAGTAAGTGTGTGAATGGTTGTTTGTCTTGTTTATCTCTATGTGTCCCTGTGATGGACTTGTGACCTGTCCAGTGTGTCCCCTGCTTCTCACACAGTGATGGCTGGACATACATGGGCCCCAGTGACCCCTGCAACCTGAAAAGGAAGAAGTGGGTGGATGGATGGAAAAGACATCTCAAGGATAAAATAAATATATTTGAGGACATTTAAAAAACAGCTCATAAAAAAGTAGATATTTTTTAGCACAGGAAATGGATTGGCTTTTCTTGTACACGCTGACTAATAAAATGATGCTCTTCAATGAGCTGCATGTCTGTCGCTGGACTTACTGTGAAACTACAGCTGCTCTGCCTATTCAGTCCAGAGATTACCTCATCAATGAGTGAGACAGGAGAGGGTGTAACACTGTGGAGGATGATTCACATGGTAATGCAAACGCAAACCATGCTGTGTGTGATGTAGCAATGGACAAACACACCTTGTAACAATAAAC